AATGTTCCTGTCCTGCTGCTGCCGGTTGCCTCCAAATAAACAAATAGATAGATAGATAGTGAACAGGTTGTAAAGGTAAAAAACATAAGTGTATTTTTCACACCTCCACAAAGTTTCCAGAATAAACCTCTTCTAGTGTGACCTCCAGGTCAAGTATGATATCATTTCCTCGTGGAATGTTCCTGTCCTGCTGCTGCCGGTTGCCTCCAAACATGAAACCAAAATCACCAAAGAAGCTTGAAAGTGGACAAAGAAAAAGGAATAAATAGGTCATTGACAGGCTTCTGTAGCACTAGAAGAGGTTATTTAATCACTGAATAAGGTGTACTGGAGTAGGGAACAAATGAAACATGCAGGATTGTGGCCYTTTAAGGACCAGGAYTGAAYACCCCTGTTTTRTAAACAAATCACTGCTTTCATTCTTTTAATGTATTAAGTTTCTGATCCTACAGTTAATATCTGGTTAGTTTAATTAATTAAAAACATTATTCCTGGGGGGTGCTACTGTAGAAATGTTTATGTCAACAGTAGGGTTGGGCATAATCTTATCGTGTGCAATTAATCGTCAGAAAAACATTAATCGATTATTTTTTGGCACTTGACGATTAATATGATTAACGCCACCAGGCAGAGTCTGCTCTGTGCTCCTCTCCTCTTCAAATATGACGAACATTTAAGCAAAAGTTCTGTAATTTATTTATCCATCAACACAATTTAAATTTGATGTATAGCCTGAAGTCTGTGATTTTGACACAATTTGGAAAAGATTTTTACGAAGAGCAAATCTTTCCCACTAAATTGGTCATGTGACCAGGATATAAGGGTGCCCAGGGACACCAGGGCATTAATCGTCAAATGAATTATTATCGGCTAAATACCACAATTAATCGTGATTACTTTTTTTTGCCAATATCGCCCAACCCTAGTCAACAGCGGTAGCAGCAGTKAGCTTTAGCCCAGTGCTCATTCTGACTCATTTTGTAATTGTTTTTACTACAATCGAACCAACAACACCAACCTGGAAAAAATATCATTGTGAGAGCTATGGTGACCTTCTTTTAATCCATCTTCTCCGTACATATCGTACTGTTTCCTCTTCTCCTCATCTGAGAGAACCTGCAAACAAAACATGTTCATCTCACAAACAACCAACCAGTCTACACTTCATTTGGTGAATGGATTTTTGATTGTAAATTATTCATTTTACAACTGCATTGGCTGAGAGTCAGTCACAACACATGTTGATATGAGTCACATGAGTGATATGTTGTGATATTGAATTAGATTTTTACTGTAATTTTAAAGGCTCGACCAACACAACAAGTCTTTTCAGTTCTCAACACAAGATGATCTTTGTCTAAATTCCTGACACAAAAGGTAGCAGGCGATACGCAGTCGCTGAAGGCTAGGCCGTTAATTCATGTCTTTTTTTTGTTTGTTTCTTTCTTTTACAACTCCTGGCAAAAGAATTGATGGAACTCCTGGAAGTAGTACCATCTGGAACTTCCAGT